ATATATATATATATATATATATATATACGATGGGACACATTTTCAATGTAAGTATCGTGGATTATAATAATGGCATAGATTACGAAATATATTTATTACATCTATTAGATTACTAATTTCTGACGAGGCTCTCTGTGACCATAACTGTAGTTCATTGGTTACTATTTTCGTTTTTTTAACATCTTGCGTTTCTGGACATAAGTGCCACTTCTTTTTGTTATTCCTCCTAAACCCTGTTCTGCTATCTATTTATACAATCCCGTTAGGTAGGTGATCATGGCTCTCCATTACTTCCTATCTTTTGTTTCTCTTAGTAAGATTTGTCTTTTCATCATCCATCCCATTTCTGCCATCCATTTACACAAGGTCGTTCGGTAGATGATCATGGCTCTCCCTAACTTCCTATCCTTTTTATCTCTTAGCATTTGTTATTTTGTATTTATTCTTTCCGTCTTCCTTTCTTTCCTTCTTATTCCTTTCTTCTAATTTTGATTCATTTCTATGACTTTTTCTTTCTTTCTGTCTTTCTTTCTTTCTTTCGTTCGTTCGTTCGTCCTTCCTTCCTTTCTTTCTTTCTTTTCGTTCCTTTTCCCTTCCTTTCTTTCTTTCTTTCTTTCTTCGTTCTTTCTTTTCGTTCTTTTTTTTCTTTCTTTCTTTTCGTCTTTTCTTCTTTTCTTTCTTTCGTTTGTTCGTTCGTTCTTTTTCTTCCTTTCTTTCTTTTTTCTTTCGTTCGTTCGTTCTTCCTTTCGTCCTTTCTTTCTTTTATTCATTCAATCATTCTTTCTTTCTTTCTTTCTTTCTTTCTTTCTTTCTTTCGTTTTTTCGTTCTTTTTTTTTTTCTTTCTTTTGTTCTTTTTCTTTCTTTCTTCGTTCGTTATTTTTTCTTTTCCTTTCTTTATTTCCTTTCGTTTCTTTCTTTTTTTCGTCCTTTCATTCATTCATTCATTCTTTTCTTCCTTTCTTTTCTTCTTTCTTTTCGTTCGTTATTTCTTTCTTTCTTTTCGTCCTTTCATTTTTTTCATTCATTCATTCATTTCTTCTTTTCTTTTCTTTCTTTCTTTCTTTCGTTCGTCCTTTTTTCTTTCTTTCGTTCGTTATTTCTTTCTTTTCTTTCTTTCTTTCTTTTCTTCTTTTCATTCTTTTCGTTTTTTTTCTTTCTTTTGTTTTTCATTCTTTCATTCATTCGTTCGTTATTTTCTTTCTTTCTTTCTTTTTTTCTTTCCTTCTTTCTTTCTTTTCTTTCAATTATAACCAGCATCTGAAATAGAACGGAGCTTTTACAACAATGAGAGAAAATGTAACGATAATACCGAAAATAAATATGTGCGGTATCTCTTCAGGACGAGAGCGATAATGGCTCACCACAGCTTCCCATCTCCCGTTACTATCCATCCTAGACCCTCTTTGGCTATCCATTTACACAAACTTATTAAGTAGGCTATTCGATGTTTCCCTTTGCTTCTCTTGTCCTGTGCGTGTCATATTCTCCAAACCATCTCTCCTCGCTTAATTTTTGGGACACCTAATGTGAATATTGTTTACTAGCAGTGCTTGTTAATACTTTACCTTCGTAAATCAAACTGAAGGAAAGTAAGAAGGAAGATAAGTAAATATATTGTCAGAAATTCTGTGGAACCAAAATATTTGACCTTAAGGTCAGATAACACTCCCTCCATTCATTCTTCATCCTTCCAATCTTCATCTACTTGCCAGATCAATAGAACACGAAGCAACTGAATATCGTCCAACCAGATGCTTTCACGCCAGACAAGAGGGACGCCATGCATTAAAACAACCTAAAGCGGGAGAAATTAAATTCGTTACAGCACCAGGCAGCCTTCACGTCCGGTCGATAGACCCACAATAGGCATTCTCAATAAAAAGGCCAACAGTCTAAATAAAATTGGTCAAGCACCATACAAGGCTAGCTGAGACCAGAATTTGGACACAATGACCGCTGCTAGTGCTACCGGTCAGCAGCTTGCAACGGGATGATAGGAGACAATCTTCTGCAGTAAAGCCTCAATGATAGGGATGGAAGGCTGCTTTTATCGGACCGATAAACATACCGACAGCTTTTCACAAGTGAACATTGGATAGAACGATCACGCCGAAAGGAACTAACTTGGCCGGACATGCGCAGTTCAATATCCCCTTGACCTTGTCCGCTGATTGGTGAATAATTCAATAACGTGGAAACTGCGCTCGGTATGATGAAGAGACGTGACCAGTAGAAGCAGACTCAATCGAAGTTTTGAATTGTTGCAAGCACTTTACCCTTACAGCCAATAGTTAATATCAAACTATTAGCTATAAAAAATGATACACCAAATATTGTTTAATCTTAAAATTATGTTTCTTGATGACGTTGACGATCATGACTCTCCACAGATTCCTTTTCATTAATTTTTTTGTTAATATCTGTGTACTGCTATGACATATAAGGGAAGATAACAGAGTTGTTTTCTACTACATTCTCCACGATTTGCAAATCAGACAT